CGGCGCCTGCGCGGGGGGGGGGAAACTGAGTGGCCGCGCGTGCGCGGTTGAGCGCTACAGGTGAAACGGCGGTTAAGCAGAGGGAGCTTAATAGGTGCGTGTGCGGCCGTCAGCGGAGGTCCCTAGAGGGCGCGTTTTTGCCGCTTCTCCCCGGTGCGAGGTGAGAAGCAGGAGCGCAGGGCGTGGTGGCACGGCCGTTATTTTTCCCTGCTGCGCGCAGCCTGTCTGTGGCCCGCAGAGGCCTGAAGCTGGCGTGCCGGTCGCCTGTGCCCGTACCGGAACCGCTTATGTTCCCTTCACAAAAAACAAACAAACCTTATAAGCAGAGGGCAAGATATGTGTGAGCTAGGGTGAGTGGGCAAGTTTCATCTATAGACATGAAAAATGTTATGGAAACAGATGGGAACCACTGACATTTGAAGGAGGGGCAGCATGATCCTATTGATTTTGCATAAAATCAGGGTAATCCTATTGGGATACAAATTTTTTTTTTTTGGAGTCTTATTGATTGCAAGCTTTTCTTAACTTGCTACTATGAAGAAGGACCACTACACCTGTACTTCTTCATTTTAGAAGGCATAACATTTAGCAAACATTTGTGCTACATTCTCACCATGATTTAACTTCTTCTTGTGATTCCAGCAGCACACTTCCAGTCCACAGTGAATATTTTTTACTTTACATCAAGCTGCATTTTGATAGCATCTAGAAGTGTGGTAAAATAGCACAGATCAGTAAACATTTGCATGATCATTAAATGTTCAATGGATCATTTAAAACTTATTGCTTCATTAAATATTGGTTAAAAAAAGTATTAACTGTAGTCGGTTATTCTAGCTGATGCAGAAGGCAAACAATATCTGAAACCAAATTGTTTCTCTCTTTTTTTTTTTTTTTTTGTTCTCGTCTCCCACCTCAAACTGAAGGAAGAAAAACGCTTCCCTTGGGGGATAAAACCCCACTAATCATTGACCTTAATTAACTAAATAAAAGGGTTTTTTTTTTTTCTCCTTTCAGAGCTTGCTGAAGAAGCTAGTGCCATCAAAACTTGATTTAGAGCTTCAGCAAAGTGATTACAAGTGCTTGGTCAGTAGTAACTTTGAGCACTTCTGTAGTTTATCCTTTAAAATGTTTTTAATATATTAACTGATTTTAAAGATGATGTTATGTTTACACTTTAAAATAGGCAATGCAGTTAAATGGATTATTTCTTAAAAATTGCATCATAGATATCTAATTTGATTATATTCAACTTATAATTCCTTAATTTTTGTCCTTCTTGCTATAGGCCTTATATAAATGACTAGCCCTTAATCAGTCACTAGTTACTACAAAATTTTAGGTAGTGTTGCGGATGACCAAATTTGCATGCTCAAAGCGTTAGAGCTAGTCAGTTAGCCAACCATGCATGCTCTTAGCCTGCTGTTAAGTAAAGCATGCTTGTGATAAACCAGTTTGCACACAACTGTGTTTTTCAGTTTTCTTTTTCTAGAATTGATTTGATAAAAATACTGGTTTATTCACCAATATTAAACCTGGTCTATAAAGTCAAAAAGTTTCCTTTAGAATTGCGTTTGTGACTTGTTGCAGTTACACTGCTGAAAAGGTTCATGTGTACTCTCACACTGAACTGCCAGTCTCAGCTGAACTCGTATAGAAGCTTGTTGTGCCAAATGGGAGAGGTTGAGCTCCCTCCTTTTCCCTTCTTGCTGCTGACTGTGCAGTCTGTCACTTTCTTTGTACAATTTTCTCCTTTTGGAGGTTAGTTTTTCTTGTTTTTCTTCTGGGAAAGTGAGCTGAATCAGTGCAGATAGGAGACTGCTTAAGCTGATGCTGTAGCGCAAGGATGTATGTGGAACCACAGCCTCAATATATGGAATGCCTTTTTATTTATTTATTTGTTTAAAGCTGTAACAGAGCCCTGAAGTGACCAGAAAAAAGGAACGGTTTAACATATTAAAACTGTAGCATAGACAAACAGCTGTACTTACAAAGCGTTAGTGTTGATCAGTCAAGTAACACTTTAAAAATATCACAGTCCCCTTTTTATGCAAGAGGCTTTTCATGCCTTTGTTTTTAGTCTGTTTTTAGTGATGACACATGGTTAGTAGTTTTGCAGCTGTTCTGGCTTAACTTGACAGAGGTAAAATACTTGAAATTACTGGGGTTTTACATATGATGCTAGCATAAAAGTCCTTTTAATGAGGAGTGTCAGTTGCGGGGCTTCTGTGCTTTTTAAATCTTTGATGCTCCTACCGCAGATGAAAACAGAAAGTAATTTCATAGTATGGCTGAGGTAAGAAGAGACCTCTGGATAGTCTCTAGTCCAACGCCCCTGCTCAGAACAGGGTCAGCTACAGGAGGTTGGTGAGTGCCATGTCCAGTTAGGTTTTGAACATCTCCAAGGATGGACACTCCACAACCTCTCTGGGCAACCTATGCCAGTGTTAGACCACCCTCACAGTAAAAAATGTTTTTTTTTTTTTTCCTTATGTCTAACAGGAATTACCTGTATTCAGACATTCCCATGTCTGATACTTGGACAACATCAGAAAACACTCTTAACAAATATTGTTCATCTTTACAGATCATATTATTAATCTTTTTTTCTGAAAGATTTAGTGTATTTTTTATTTGTTAAGTGGAGTAGGTTGTTCATACAATTATTTTTCAGAAGGTTTTCTGAGAGCGGCGGTGATTTTAAGTCTGATGATTAACCATACTCAAATATTCCAGATGAGAGTGAAGATTTGCGGAAGCTTGCAGAAAGGGAAATCATTTCCTGTAAAGAAGAGATAGCTGAACTGAAACGCCAGGTTAGAGTCCTTTGAAAAGCCTTTGTTTCCTTACCATTCTTAAATTTGCAAAGCCAAGTTGTCTTCTCGTCAAAATAAGATATGTGACTGTGCATGTAGACCTCTTCTCTCTCCTCCCCCTCCCAAAGTAGTCTGTAACCAGTGTTCATTGTCTAAGGAAAATGAAAAAGGCAGACCATATGTAGACCATCTGTGAATGTCTACTTGTATCAGAAATTATTTGAATCAATAAAACTTGATAAGTAAGTTCTGTGGTTTGTCCTGTCTTAGTGTGTGTTTGTGGATGTCCATCTTTTAGCTATTAGTAACAGTAAACTTGTGCAGTATCACACACTAGTGGTTTTGAAAAAGACTTTTTAAAACTGTGTAGCTATTTCAGACCTGCTAGCTTATATAGGCTCTACATAGTATCTATGGTATTTTGTGTCAAAATAATTCTCTTAACATAAACACATGTTACAGTTTCCTAATTTTGCTAGTGCAGTAGAGGCTGCTATTGTCGCATCCTTTATTCATTTAGCAACAGTGCAACAGTCATTTTATAAACATTTCTGTAAATTTTCATGATAAAGATTTACCAAAAGAAGAAAGAGAAGTCTGTACAATGAGATTAAGCCTAATGCTGGGAAAGAAAGATGGGTGAAAACACTTACAAATCATCCAAAATTACATGCAGCCTGTAAAATTATTATACAGGTTTTTTTGGTTCTAATATTCTGGCATATCCTTTAGTTCTGCAGATCAATGTCAGGTCACCTCTCATGTAAAAAGAAAATTATAGCTGAATTCTTGTTGAAGGAGTATATTCCTG